TTCCATAATGTATCGACGATAATGCTTGAAACAAACCTACTGTTATTATTACTATTATTCATATTATTATCATAGTTCCTATTCTCATTTTATACTTTGCACATTTTTAACATTATTCATACGGTAAATTAAAAGTCAATCTGAACGAAGAATATTCTTTTCAATAATTTCTCTTCAGGTTCGTACAATTATTAAATATAATATTTATTGTCTTTACAATAATGACCAGTTATGCGGTGGATACATGTTTTAACGTAGAATAATGGATTAGTTATGGGTTGTCAAAATAAATAGTCGTATTTGTGTGATAAATGTGTTAGGCTGAAATCGATTACAAAACATTGTAAAATGTGGGACACCGGTGGTTAGCTTACGTCTTCTACATATAGCTGAAGCTGTTGCAGTAAGATCGATTAAACCGGAACTTTGTATCCCAAAAAAAGCACGTCCAGACACTGTTCCTACCGTGGCCAAACTTGGAGTGGTGATTCTTTTTCTCACCAAGAGTGCTCCTTCCCCTTAACCCTCTTGGTGTTTTTTCCTTCGCTTATTATTACAATTATTATTATTCGTCATAATTTATGCCCTTCATGCAAACATTCCCTCAATACTATCGAATTTTTCATTTATACTATTCAGACTTATTAATAGTGATATTATCCCTTTTCTCAATATATGCCTCCACCTGTTTCATTTCACATATTCGTTATTTCATTATGAACCTCTCATTGCAGTCTTATTATCTCCTGTTTAGTACATACCACTTTGTGCTAGTCACTCACCTGGCACCTTTTATAACCTTGAATTGACTTGTCAATTTTCCTACCCCACACTCTACAAATCTATTATGACTAATTATTATGTACTCGTCGCCAAATTATTGTTATGTACTGGTCGAGAATTTAATAGTCCTGACGCAAGAAAGACGGAAATCAGAAGACCACTAGGTTTGCGATGATACTTCTATTTTCCAAACACAAAGAGAATCCAAGTCACACAAGAGTGTGAGAGCAAAAATATATATGAATGTCCGAACAACTGTGTGAACACAAGTGTGAGAGCGAATATTCAAAATGAACGAATCAATAGACAGTCTTAACATGATTGGCTAATTATAATGGAATATCAATCCATATATATATATATATATATATATATATATATATATATATATATATATATATATAGCAAAATATATCAGACTGTCAAACAAACACACATATTATATGGATATATATATCACTAATCACCACCACCATCTCCCATTTTACAACATTTTGGTAATCGATTTCTTCCTAGCACGATTGTCACACAAATATGACTATTTATTTTGACAACCCATAACTAATCCATTATTCTACGTTAAAACATGTATCCGCCGCATAACTGGCCATTATTGTAACGACAATAATTATTATATTTAATAATTGTAAGAACCTGAAGAGAAATTATTGAAAAGAATACTCTTCGTTCAGATTGACTTTTAATTCATGACAAATTTCTACAGCTGGGTACTCATTGGTCGAAAACGAAACCTGGTCCGTTCGCTTGCCACTTGCATTCGGCGCATATGTAGCCCTGATATTGTGGAAGATGAGTTATATCTTTTGAGGAAAATCCCGATAGAAAATGGATTTCCACCACGTTTTATAGATATAAATATACATTCAAATCCTATAAAAAATGACTTATCATCTGTACCCAAGAAAATACTCTACATGTGCTTGGAATTCAAAGGGGACTTAGCTTCCGATATCATGAAACGAAGGATATCCCAGTTCCTAAAAAGAACATTCCCTGCTGCATCTCTGAGAATAGCCTTTACTAGTCGACCATTACTGTTCAATAACCTGAAGGACAATATCCCGCTGTTGACCAACTCTATGTGTGTTTATCAATTCACCTGCTCGTGTGGAGCTAGGTATATCGGTCGTTGGACTCGAGTTTTGTCCAAGAGGGCGCAAGAACACTACCCTGCATGGCAGTTATGAAGAGGTGGAAGTGGAGCAGTAAGTAACACGATCATTGAACATCTGGTCGATAATGATCACCCTAACTCTATAGCCTCCACCCTTAAATTCATCTACAAGGCAAAGAGTAATTTACCCAAATCCCTATGTACCCGACTCATCTGTGTTGCTGAAGCTTTGGCTATCGAAACATAGAAGCCATATCTCTGTGTAGAGAAAAAGTTCGTTCGAACCCTCCAACTTCCATGGTCTTAATCCCTTTATGCTAAAGTATGATAATTCCTAATCATATTTTGGCCCTACTAATTTATTTTTCATTTTGTCTATTCGACTTGTATACTCTTCCTTTATTACTTCAATTGTTACTATTACCATTCTCACTTTGAGCTGTCCCCGGTATTATTTCACTTGTTCCTCTTGTCATTCTAAATCATTTCTTTTTTACCAACGTTAAATGCTATGCTATCAAATTTCACACAATATTACGTAACGTTTTTATTTTATCGATTTGTCTACTACTCCTATAATTGCACACCCTTTCCAAGTCCTATACATCCAATGAATTTCTCTATATATGACATTAATTCGCCACTTGACATTTAACTATGATTGTAATCACAAACATTTTAGTTGTAATATAGAAAATAAACCCCATTTAGACATTTAGAAAACAGAAAGATTGAGCGAAGGAATATTTACTTTTCAATTAGATCCTCATCTCTGGCTCTGCTCTAATATACACATATAGTATTTTTATTACAATACACAACAGTTTACCGATCAAGTGGCACTGTTAAGGACAACAACGTTATTTAAGATGAAGTCGTCAGAAAAAGTAATAAAATAATTTAGAGAATTATAATTTTAAATGTTTAGAGGGAGGGAGGCGAAGTAGTCCGGTTTATTCAATCATGTGATGATGGCCAAGGTAAGGAAAGTGGCTGTACAAATTTCTTCTGAACACAGAGGTTTGGCTTCTTCAGGTGGATTCCTATACCTCCCTTCAGCTGTATGTAGAAGACAAACTCGTAGAGCAAAATTAAGATTAGTCGGAATGCGATAAATAATTTTAAATGCAGTATTAACGCCCATCTTGTGCTCACTATCTACAAGGTGTGCTAAAATAGATCTACGAATAGATGGTATTTGTCCCTTGCTTAACCACGTTGGATGATGTTCGGAAATACGATGATGAACCTGCCTAATTGTACGCCCAATGGCTCCGCAGCTGCAGTCAAACTGGTAGATACACATAGAAGAGGCAAATTTAGGTAGTTTATCCTTATTACTCGAATGTAGAATAGGGATGGTTGTGAAGAGACAACGTACCTCTGCTGCACAGTAAACTCTTTTAACTGCATTCTTCAGGCGCTGTGTTATTATTTCGCTGATGTTGTCACCGAGGAACTGCAATTTTATGAACATTGGTTTTTTCGGAACTGTTGCCATACTGACTCTCCTTGGTGCTGAATTCATGTTTTAATTTTAATTGCATTTCATATTATTATTATTTTAAGCACCTATGATTCAATACCCTCACTGGATATAACTTCTTAAAAACCATATATATATATACGACTGTACAGCTTGATGATAAATTCGTAGAAAAGAGTCTCTTCGCTGGACCACTTGTTTCGATTTTCTATATGGGAATATTTAACACTATTAAATCCCATACTGTAAATGTCAAAACATTCCTGTGGTTAATTTAACTAATATTCTGAGTAAAGTAGATACAACATTATGACAAATGCTGAAAATTCAATGCTGCATTATAAGTATTGTTTCTGAAATAAAGACCATTATTATTGTTATCATTATTATTCTATCATTCATTCAAATAGGTTCACTTTATATCAAAGTTTGCGATGAAGATGCTGAATACAAAAGACAACGAAAGGTCCACCCATATCTCAGTAGAAAACCAGATCACAATTAACCATCTGAGCTACAAATCTTCTCTATTGCACATAGCACTTCTTGCAGTTCTCCATTGTCACCATGACAACACTAAACTGTATCAACCAGTCCAATAAATGATGCTAGGCAACTTCTTGAAAATTACCTGTCAGCAGTAGTAGCAGTGTAACAACAGAAGACAAGGGCCAGGGGACAGATCGTTTATTTAGGAAATCAACACATATTTATAGATTTTCATGTACATATTATAGATTATTGTTAGCAGAAAAACATAGTCTTCTGATTGGTGGTTGATTCTCACAGAAAGTTAACCTTGCATTTTTTTCTGCCTGTTTCTTGAATGTCAGATGCTAAATGTATCCGCCTACGGAAAGCCTTTGTTCTCATTTTTCTCACGCCGAATATTGGGGACATAAACACTGACGTAAATTACTGTCTACCAAATTGGCTAGCAGCCAGCTCTCACCACAGAAGTAGTTATGCCTAGTCGGCTGAGTTGGGTCATGTATTCCTTCTACCTTTATACAACGATTATAACTTTATTCAAGTGTTGGTTTGTAGGGATTTGATTGGTTACAAGATTTCATCATGAGCTGGCATCAGTTAGAGAACCACTAGAAAACCTGGGAGTACTGGACAGCTGTTTCGACCTAGTTTGGGACTCTTCAACAGTACGCACCCACCAGGATTCGAAACCAGGACCTTCTGGTTACAAGGCAAGCTCGCATACAATTAAGCCACTGGGACCCGATCCAATGGCCCATGAATTCTAACCTCTGCCGATTCACGACAAAGAGCAACTCCTAGCCAATGAAATGAAAATTGTTAGATTTTCACCACTCCCAAAGTCTTACAAGTTAACGTGCCACCTAAAAGTGTACTTATATGTGATTTAAGGCATACACCGACACTATCATTACTTGTGCTATACTCTGTATTGAAATGAAAGAAAACTGCAATTGAGAATATGCAGGAAATTGTATACTGCAAAAATGACTATTTCTGTCAAGTACGAATTTATTCTCGAGTAGAACAACAATAACTTATATATATATATATATATATATATATATATATATATATATATATATATATATATATATATGTTTTTTATACACCATGAATCATACGTTCCTTATTGATAAGATGTGTTGTTTGATTAATCAATGCCATTAGGTTCCGAGTATTGTAAGACCAATCGTTTAAAACTTCAGTGGGCATCTTTTTTGACGTGAAATGTACAACACCTTCAAGTCGATCAATTTTCGCGTAGACTGTCTTACTCACAACTAAATTCGATAAATACTCTTCTGCTTTCTAAAAAGAAGGAAAAAGCAAGACGTAGAGAGGGAGAGAGAGGCAGGCAAAATAAATTGCATAAAAAGAAGATATTTAGTACTATAAAAAACAGTATACAATGATTAAAATGGTCTCCATTCGCAAAATCACAAGCAATAACTAACGTATATATATATATATATATATATATATATGGTCAATGTTTCTTCGCTCAATTCTTTTGCTTTCTAAATATCTAAATATATGTTTGCAATGTATCTCTAATGAGTAGCACATGGCTGAAATGACGCCGACAACAACGGTGATCGTCTTTTGTGATTCGGTTCAAATAATCACCACAATTAATTTCACTCATTAACGGAGACAATTTTAATTGGTGATTGCAGACATCAATGCGAGAATGAACATACAGAGAGAGAGATAACTTTGAAACAACACATATAGACGGAGATAATTCGTAGAAGATTGTCACTCCTTCACTGACCATTCACTCGTTGTTCATGCATAAGAACAACCAAAATGGTCGTAAAAGCAGAAGCAGTGATGTATAAGTCCGTCCATACACCTACAGCTTTCTAATGAACACATATAATGTCTGTATTTTAAATGACTGACTGAACCAACTGAATAAAAGTGTTGACATGCTTTATTAGGCTTACACTAAGGTAGAGAAATAAATTCAAAGAAGTTAAAATAAACAGAAATGTATGAGGGAAAGAAAACACCGCTGGACGAGGAAGGCTCTAGTTTGGCACACGTGACACACAATATCCTAGCCGTATCAATTCATACCGTTTTACATCTCCATTAATATACTTCCCCTTCCTGACTAACACACTATGTTCAACCTCAAACTTACCATATCGATGGAAAGAATTGATTTCAACAGACCAAAAACATGATGAGCAAAAGCTATTCAAACATAAACTAACGTCTATAACATTGAGTAAAACACTATGCAAAGTAATTCAACTGACTTATAAATACCTTATTGTCACCCATTAAGCAAAATCAGCCTAAAATGGATTTAGACTCTACTGATCCACATGAGAACACAAACGCCACCTGTAATCTGAAATGAGACAAATGGGCAACATGCGGCGCTTGGCTTCATGTGTTTCACAATCGTGACATCAATCACTAACAAAGAATAATCTGGCATCACAATGACCAACCAAGTTTATAAAAATATAATAAATCTCTCTGTGATAGCCACAGATGCAACAGACTAATTAATACAATATCTTTGACCCCAAGGTTCAGTCATATGAAAATTAGGAGGAAATCGGGAAAATAAGTCACGTTTTACTTCCAATTCACGGTGCCCGACACTTGCCACGCTTCACGACTTGACGACGCTGTCTAACTTGTTCGACCTAAAAGTGTTGCGAAAAACGTGTCCGACCAATAGCTACTACCTTGACGTCGTGATCGGGCTTCCATATCGCGATGGCCCAACAAGCTACATTGGCTGGAACTTATGTCCCTGCAAGTCCTACCATGCCAGGAAGATTGTTAGCGGTTAGACTAAAAGCAGCTACCGCATTGTATAAGATTTTTTTTACAATATGCTGGGAGTCTGTGGGCAAAGCGATACTGATGGGGAACAGAGATGCAACAGCAGTAAGCTGTTTCCTTCAGATGACCAGCATGGCAGACAGCTATGCTGCCACTCCACTCTAGAGAGACGGGGTTAGAAAAAGTCAACCGCAAAAATCGTACATCCCGACTTATCCTACGGTGGACTGAAGCTGGCGGAAAGTCACTAATACGGAACCAAACCAAAAGACCAGTTCAGATAGGCCGTGCGTGGCCGATTTCAAGTACTTGTCGCCTGGGCTCTGCGGCCACGCAACACTAATTCTCTTCTTGTTTCAGGGGCCCTTAGAAGTAAAATCACCTTCCACGGTGTGGGCATCCGAGAAATAACAGCCGCCCACACACTTTTAAAAGCACACGAAGACCCCGTGATCAGTCAGTCAGCACAACAGGCGTATACCGTGGTGTGACTGGAATTACACAGTAGTGCTACAGCTTACGAGGAGTTTCCAGCTGAAGTTGTCGCAACCAGTATTCCATATATATATATATATATATATATATATATATATATATATATATATATATATATATATATATATATATATATATATATAATATAATATAATATAAACTAAACGTAAAATAGTAACAAAGGATACTAAGAAAGGTATGAATAGTAAGCAAATACTTACATCAATGTCCAAGTCTAATAACTGTGCTAAGCGATGAAGACGAATTTTAGTATAATAACCAGATATTACACGAATGTTATGTTCAACCACTCGTAGGTGTAAGTCACGCCAACGTTTTTCAGACTCCGATGGATCAACTTCATTGGAAAATATGTCAGTTTCTGTACGTAAGACAGATTCATACCGAATACAAAATTCATCCCATTTTAATAATTCTTGAGTAGTAAATGCTATGAGCATATCACTGGGGAAAAAAAGTGTAAAAAGGAAATTCGGAATAGTAATTCAGCAAACGAATATTTTAAAGTAGGATAACATTAACGACTGCTTCAATCCATGTCAGATGGAATTTTAAGTTAGAAGAATCACATAGTGATTTTATTCAAGTTTGATAGTACGATTGTTAAGAAAAAAATACTAGTAAATGTATGTTATCGTATTTCACATGTTTACTAAGATTTCACAATACTAGCTAAGAGTCAAGGGTTTAAATCAAGATGGAAGACCAGGAAGTACTCACGTCTAGTCAAAAACATGGCAGGTATACTTACCATTCCCTAAGATTACCAATACAATTAGTTCAACTTATGAATCTTTTATACGTTATACCTATTAACAAACTTACCAACGACAACCACGTTTAGATTATAATGCATATGCTGTCCAATAGTTATTTCTAATCCGGCAGAGCACTTGAGCATAATACGAAAGCAAAAGAAACCTCACTTGTGGTTAAGTTCAACTAAAAGTTTCAGAGTACAATGAAGTCGGTTCACCTAGTTTTTAGTAGTTTATCCTATTAACAGAGATTAAGTTCAAGAATCCTATAAAAGTATTGGTTTGTAGGGATTTGGTTGATTGGTTACAGGATTTCATCATGAGCTGACATTGGTTAGAGAACCATTGGAAAACCTGGGAGTACTGGACAGCTGTTTCGCTCTAGTTTGATACTCTTCGGCAGTACGCACCCACCGCCAAGGTTAAAATTCAAGAACTTCCGATTACAAGGCTAGCAAGCTCGTAGACCATTAAGCCACTGGGACCCGATCCAATGGCCAGCCCATGAATTCCAACTTCTGCCAATTCATGATATAACTCAACCGCTAGCCTATGTCTTCGGCGAGTATTTGTCCTCACACCCGACCTGCTGCGCCCTACTGGTCACGACTTCCCACTGGAACTCCAGGTAACTACCTATCTGAATAGGGCTAGTCGCCAGTGAGCATCTCATGGATATTCAAGTATTGGGTCCTAGTGGCTTAATGGTCTACGAGCTCGCTTTGTAACCAGAAGGTCCTGGGTTCGAACCCCTATGGGTGCGTACTATTGAGAAGTCCCAAAGTAGGACGAAACAGTCGTCCAGTACTCCCAGGTTTTCCAATGGTTCTCTAACTAATGTCAGCTCATGATGAAATCCTGCAACCAATCCTATAAGAGTTAGCTTTAATAGAGATGTCTTATTTATTGTCACAATAACAAGTCCACTGTTAAGCAGCTAAAATCTATGTATGATCACTAAAATTATGAAAATGTAACCGAGGAAACATATAAACAATCCAACCAATCCCTATGCAGTATGACTTGTTACACCTGCTCTAAGTGGTGCATCACTAGATACCTGGTGGCTGTTATGCAGTAAAAATACTTCCTCGCCTCTCCCATTTTTTCCTTCCAAAAGCCTCTACAGTAAACACGTACAATCTATATGGGATAAAATCTAATCTTAACATATTTGGGAAGCTATGTGTATCACAAAACTATTATAGGACGAAAAGAGTATGCATAATATAAATTCCGAAATATTTTGATCAAGATCAACAGTAAACTTACAGGTAATTTTGAATTTTTTCCATATCTTTACCAATTTTCTACGGCACATCAAATCATGCTGCTCGTTGTCATAAGGAGACAGTAATAAATATACAATCACATGCCTAAGTATCTAAGGGATTATTATTTATAACTTTAAAATACTTGGAGTCGCTTTGCCTCATCCTCTTGTATGCTTTTGGAGTTATAAATTTCCCAGTAGTTTTTGCTTATGTTCAGGTAAAGACAGTCGTGGGCATTTAAGTTGACCATTAAATTGTAGTACTTCAACTTCAAATCCTCGTTTTCGACATCAGCAAAGAACTTTGTTGATATTTTCTTGCTGATGATTTGAGTACGAATGAAGTCCTTTTTGGCTAAACAAAGTCTCATTTGTTCCAGCATGAATTCAACTTTTTCTCTTTTTTCCATAGAACCAAATGTTTCAACCTGACATGTTACATAATGAAATAACTTACTTGAAGGTCCTGTAGCACTGTGGCAGCCCCATCAATATCACCATGGGACTCTTTGATCCGTGCTAACTCTTTAGTCAAGCGTGCTCTCTCGGTTTCTACATATATCTGCGAAAAATTCGACACGAAAACTATCTAACCTTTCCTTCTGTAACAGTTCGGAGAGCTTCTATCAACTCAAGTTTAGTTTTCTCGTCCGGTGTTTTCTCCAGATATTCCATTGCCTTTTGAACCATTTTAGAAACGGCTTGTTTCATTTGCCCATGCTTTTTAGTCATTAGGATAAGATGTTCGTTGAGTCTGGACCACTGTAAACTGTCACCCAATATCTCCACAATAGCCTCCAGAAGTCGACCAGTGGAAATTGCGTCAGAAGCCTACCATAAAGTTGGTTATTATAATCAAACTACCGTTCTCGTTTGTTTCTCAAGAGAAATGCACTGTTCAAGGGCAGACTCGAAATTACCAGCCTAAAAATTGAGTAAATTTTAATGGTTATCCATCAATATACGTAGAGCTTATGAATATTAGGAATTATGGCTTACCAGTGATAAAGACTTCACAGTTACAAGCAAATCATCGACAGTACTGGAGTAATCAACCTCCATTTTATGTTGAATCTTCTCGTCCATGTTGAATTACTAAGGTGTCGTCTCAAAACAACAATTGCGCTCTACTGGTCCCACATCCAATTTCCAATACTCTTGCTAGGAACTTGTTTTAACCTATTAACTTTTTTATGCATGCCTCTTGATAATACAAAACGGTTTTAGATATCTGGCGAAGTTCATCAATAGAGTCCCAGGATTGCTAAAGCCCAAATGACCTTGAACACATGCCAGTCGTTGACTGACTACACCGGTCACTATCATAACTGAAATATCAAAGATATTCACCAACTAAGCATCAAATCTGAGTCCTTGGAAAAGATAATAGTAACCCAGAAAATGCTAAGGAGTAGAGCTATCACCTACCGAGGTTGTAATTAAATCGGGTTGTCCGAGTTCGCAGTTTAATGATCCGAAACCTATGTGGGTAGGCCGGGGAAGCACCAAACTGAATTGATAGTTTGCTACACAAACGCCCGCAGCCTGTTGAATGAATGGGCTGATAGGCTCTGGAAACCAGGATGTAATTATCATCACAGAGACATGGCTCACACCCGATGTCACTGACAACGAAGTTAACCTGCCAAGCTCCGAAGTGTATAGGGTGGACCGAATAAACCGCAAAGGAGATGGCGTAGTCACCTACCTCAAGAAACGCGTAGTGCGTAGTATCAAAGCACTCGCTCACGAAAGTGAGTCGTGCGAACTTCTACGCAGCAGACTTAAATGCATAGGCCAAGACATTGACCTCACTGCTACGTACCGCGGTCCTGGCTGCAGTGCAGATGACTTCTTAATAGAGAAGCTAGGCTCCTGGACATCGAAATGTCGAAGTCTCGAAGTCGGCGACCTCAACGCCCCAGCAGTTGATTGAACGAGCCTAACAACTCCATCTTCAGTCAACTCCTTTGACCATAAACTGCTGGGATTTAGTATATCGCTAACCCTAGTCTAACATATCAATAAGCCCACGCGCTATGACTCACAGCACTCCTCCTCAACTGTGAACTTAGTATTCTCCCACGGGGAGGATGTGCATCTTGTCCATCTTCCTCCATTAAGAAGAAGTGACCATGCTGTGCTCACTTTCAAGTTCACAGCAACGGCAGTAAGGGCCAAAACCACAGCTCGACCAAACGTTTGGAAAGCCGATATAAATGCAATCGTCTCAGCAGTCAACTCAGTAAACTGACTCTGGCGGTACGTTCGAAAGTGATGACATTTTTGCACGTGTTTGCTCTGATATTCATTTACTGCTTATTGTAATATAATTCTTGAAATTATGATCCAAATCTTTAAAAACATGTTCGTAGAAACACAATTGTTTTAGATAGTGGCTCAAATTCGGTTATAACTGCATTATCGCCTTGTAATACAGTATCACAAAGTGGCTTGAGTGCAGATCCCACTCCTGTGATACAGGTGGAAGATGTTCTGTTAAAGAACTCTGAGTTCTGTAAATTTAACCTCCTTGTGAAAGATATCCAGAAGCATATAAGTGAACTTCAGGAAAAATTTGGTCATTTTGAATGCATGTCACTGCCTATCTCAAATATCACGAAGAGCCGTTCTGATATTGGCCAGGTTAAGTCTCTACTGGGAATAACTCAAAACAAGCTTGGAGATTTAGACCCAATAGCCTGTCTGTTAAAAACATCCTAAAATGCCTCCAGACAACCTAAATAAAGCTGAAAACAACGATTGACTGCTTGGCTACGGAAGTGATGAAGCGTATGGCCTCTTCTCATCAGATTTTACTTTACAACATCCCAGATTCTCTGCCTCTGAAGACTGTAAAACGCAAAATCCTCGACTGTTGCGGCATTGCTAGTGTTCCATGTGAATGCAAAAGACCTCGTAAAAAGTCTAATCAGGCTAATTTTCCCGTCATTTTTAAGCTCATTAATTCCCTTGATGCCAGTAAGTTTACTAAATGTCAGGATCACTTAAGACTGAATAGCAGTTATAAATCAGTAACCTTAGCCCAGGTTAAAACACCGTGTCAGCGCAGAAAAATGCGTAGTAATAACCTGGTGACTTCCTCTGACTTAAATTTACCAAAAAAAGGATCGTGTACAGCAACAGTCACTTAATGCTGACTGTAGCATTCAGCAAACTACACAACAAACACGCTTGCCAATGGAACTAGGAACCGATTTAGATACCAGTACCCCTATGAATTAAGCCTCATCGAAAGATGCTAAAAAAGCTAGAACTTCGGCAAACAACCCTGTAAACAAGGCCTCACTGGAAAGTATCAAAATAGCTAGTACTGCTGTAAGTCGTCCTGAAAAATTTTCAACCAAACGTGGTAACCTCACCACGATGAACGAATTTCGCAGGATTGAGACTAATGATGGGGAAGAATACTTTGTGTTCAATAGGCCTGCTAAGAGTAAGAGCGTCAAGAAACCCTCACTCGTTATGAAAAAGTCCTCTCGAAACAATAGCATATATGAAGGTTTTCAGCATGTTCCACCTTTTATTTTAATTTTTTATTTTTGATTACAGCTTGATTCCACACCGTATGCGTTTGGTAGAGGTATGGAATTTTCAGCATGGATATCGACAGCCTAAATTTTGCAGGCCGACCACAGATATCAGGTGTGCGTCGGCAGGAGATAGAACCTTGCACCATGTGCATGGTAGGTGACAGTCCTAAACACTGTCCCACCAACGCACAAGTCGAAGGCCCCAAAACCTAGCAACCAAAGCACCTTCCCTCACAATAACTTTTAAGTTATAGAAACAACATAAAGATGTATACAGGTGTGAGGAATAGCAGATGTATGGGTAGACCTTTTGATGCTATGCTTTTTAACCATCAACCCAGGCCTAACCTCTACTACCCTTACATCCAGAAACACATGGTAAATTTTCCAGTTGTCCCCAATCACTGGTACGACCCATGGCACCTAGGACCACCTCATTGGAATATAACCCGATGTACAGACACCCAGTCTGACCTCCTTATTACTCATAAACTCTTGCGGTGCTGACGCACAAACGGATTTAGGTTATGGCGATAAATATAAATAGATTTATTCCCATAGTACAGTACTTGAGGAATGCCAGTTTACAGGAATCATCAAATTGTTACAGAAATAGAACTATATAATTCAATCACAATTTACAGGCGGTAGCAAGATATGCTTCACATGTTCACTGGAGATTATACATACACTTGATAAATGTTAATCCCAGTAGTATAAAACAGCTTTTTCAATTATATGCAATGATTTCTGTGTACAGTTGGAAAAATCTGCTAGATTGTCAGTGAGTGCAACACATCAGGAAATACAGAAGTATTGTCTTCGCATTAACAAAATAACCAGGTCTTTGGTGGATGGATTATAAGTCCCTGGGAAAAAAATAAAGCTTGAAGTCATTTTCCATACAGAACCTTGTTGTGTGCAGAATCCTTGAATTATAGTTCATTGATGTGTTATTTTGAAATCAGTGATATGTTTATCTCATTTGATCTGCAATGTCATTGTTGGGAGTAAATACATAAGCTTTAGACGCATCAATTAATGGATTTCTACTGCTTGTGGGTATTTACTTCTCATGAGGAGGGTTTTTGAATTTTAGTTGTTCCGATAGGAGTTGTGGATATCAACTGCTCGGCAACATTACGGATATAAGTTCATCACATTATCTTAGGAAATTTGGGTTGTAGTTGGTGAGGTATATATGGTGCCCAACGAGCGTACATCTGTCCATGTGATGTGGTGAGTTATACCTTTTTCATGTTGTCGGTTTATGTCCATTTTATTCCACTTATTGTGTTGGGTAGAAGTTTTACAAACGAAATTTTTTCTCTGTTTGAGGGTAAGTATCTTAATCGTTAATGTTTTATCTAAAATTATAAATATAGGCAAAAAACAACAGGTGTGGTACTTAAGTTTATACATTAAATGAACCTATAATTCCGGAGGCTCTCAGATAGGAACTAGAACTACTATCGTTTGCAAACTCTTGTAGTTTGTCATTAAGCACCTTTTCGAAGGAGGCTAATGTACTCGCTTGACGCATTTCCATTGGTAGTTTATTCCATATCTGTGCATACCTAATCAAGTAAAACTTTTGCCTTGCAGCTGTTTTACATTGTTCGATAGCTACTGTACCCTTAGTGTGTCTTAGTTTGTAGCCATTGTCATCTGAAAGTCGAGTGCCATTAGTAGAGGTAAAAACTAAGTGGTTTAGAAGCTTATAGTAAAGTGTTAAGTTTAGTCTCAGGCGTCTTAGCCATAGTGTTTCTAGTCCTAGGGTATCACATCTAGTGGAGTAGTTCGCACCATTTTCTGTTCCGAGTAATTTTAACGTGAAGTACCTCTGCACTCCCTCGACTTTCAATTTGTCCTCTATGCGTATACTACTATACATGAATGAACAGTAATCAAATAAAGGACGCACACAAACCTTGTACAACAGAATTCTAGACTCATTTCTGTAGAAGTTCCTGAGTAGAAAGCCGATAAGTCTGCATGACTTTGACAATTGTATGGAGATATGTTCAGAAAATGATAAGTCATATGAATATTTCAGTCCTAGGTCCAATACACATTCCAGTCGTGGAAGTGCATGGCCTTGAATTGTCAGGTCAAGTTCTAAAGTGTTGCAACCTATGCAGAGCCAGCCACATTTTTCGACATTAAACTGGAGTTGCCAGGTGTCACATCATCTATCCATTTTTTCTAATTCTTGCTGTATGGCGTTTACTGTTATTCCAAAATCTGTATTCTTGCATTTATAGGTCACTTTTAAGTCATCTGCATATAGTATTGGTTTCCCTACACTAAAGCATTCACAGATACTGTTTATATATATTATGAATAGGAGTGGGCCTAATACGCTTCTCTGGATTACACTACTACTAACTGGTTTAGGCCTTGAGGTTATCGAGCCAACTTTCGTTGTCTGACTTCGGCCACAGAGAAATGATTTTATCCAGCTTAGGAGAGGGTTACATATCCCCAGTGAGCATAACCCGCTGACTAGCATATTATGGGGACTCTGTCGAA